GCGCAGAAGTCCAGCCTCTTTGCTTAAACTGCCACTCGAGAGAGGGTCTGACCCAAGGCAGCAATTTAGCCCTGTCTCTACGCATTCCCCTCTGCTGATTTTTTTTTTCTGTAGGAGCAGTAAACTTTCAACAAAAGGGGAAGAGAAACAATTTTTTGGAGTGATACCATTAGGGAAAGCTTGATAAAGGTTGATAGGTGAGAGAATAGACTTCCATTCAAGACCTAAGCCAGATCTATTTAAAAGACACTAGAGAACTACCCCTTATCCCAGGACATCCACAAATCTGGAGGATGCAAATGTGGCTTAAAGCTACGTTAACCTCCTCTCTCCTGTCCTTTCTGGGTCTGATGAGTAGCAGCCAGAGCATGGCTCCTCAAAAAGAGCATATTTCGTCTCTTGTTCGTAGCCAAATTAATGCTAAACCGTTGAGTTTGACTAGCCAAGATGCACTACGTTTGAGTAACATTACCACTTGAAAAATAAACTAGTACAGTCTATTTTCAAAGGCGTTTGCTGATGAGTAAATGGGACAGTGCCAGTGCTCCTCCATCCTCACAAGGGGGACAACCCTTCTGCCAACATCGTGACTAAATGCCTGCAGTTCAAGACCTGCGCAGTTCATAGCCCTGACCCCCCGCCTTGCACCCTGCCACAAGAGCAATGCCAGGACAACCTGACCTTACCAGATTTCCTCAAGTCAAATTTTAAATCTGCTAAATCCCATCCAATATCCCTACAGACCTTTCCAGAGACACAAGACTTTATGTTCTGCACCCTTTTGTATTTTTAATGGAAAAGGAAAAAGAGAGAGAAAAAAAAAGACAAAATTCATGTCTTGATGAGAGCCAAAAATGTGAATGCAACCACTGAAACATTATTTTTGTTAAGTAGTTCTCATTTGTACAGGCATGACGGGAAACCTGAGAAAACCTGTTTCAGACTATGAAGATCCCATTCAAACATCCTGGCTGTCTAATTCTAAACTTCAGTCGTCTTTGATATTTACCCTGCAGTATCAAAACACTCCTGACAAAGTCCTGAAGAGAGACAAGTACATTCAAATTCTTCTAGGGCTTGACCCCACCACATTGAAATTAGTGTGAGTTTTGCCCCTGACTTCAGCCCTGAAAGAACGAGCAACATTCTTGGGCCAAATAGGGGAAAAGCTTTTCTACAACTTCCTTTACATGCTTGCACTCTCCTTAGTCCTAGAGATTTCCGTTTGCTTTCAGAAAGCTGAAGGCACAAATGGGCAACGCATTCCACCATTTACCTATCCAATCTCACCCTGGTGGAAAACAAGGAAGGTATTTTTTACTATTTTCCAGAAAGAAACACAGTTCTCTGAGAAGGGACGTACTTTCTACAGGTTGGGTAAGCTCCCATCAGTAAAGGTTCTGGTCTTTGCTATTTCAAGAAAGTTTTACAAGTGCAAGTGAAATTGGAACCTCATCAGCTTTTCCCAGCGATAAAATGGAAGAGCCCTTCATCTCTGAACACCATGGAGCTGTGCTGCCTGCAAAGGAAAGGCCAGAAAAAGGGCATCCCTGTTCTAGTCTCCACAATGAGTCAAATGTTTTCTAAAGAGACCAACTCTTTCTCACGAGTGGAGATCCAGTGCAAAATCTATTGGCTTTACAGGGAGCCAGTCATCCTGAATTCAGAGGCCTACACTTGAGAAACCTGAAGAGATGTCCATGATGCATAAGACCATGGAGCTATTCATTTCTCAGCCGTTATTGCTCCATTCTCCTTGGTTTTCTCTACCTGAAGCACCTCACTTGATAAAAAGCATCCCCAAAGGACAACAGAAATTCAGGTATCTTCTTTCATCTGACTTTCCAATTTACACAAAGTAACTGGGAACAGAGCACATGGACTACATGGACCAGTGCTTGCTAGCTCGTTTCTCGCTGGCTTTATGAAGGTAAACTCTGAGCGACAAAGTTTGTCAGCTCTCTTCTTCTGTCAGAGCTCCAGAAATCAAACATACTCTGTATCAACATCTACAAGAATAGCTTTGTATTTCTGGAAACACCAAGCATCACATCTTCTCCAAAGGGGCCTGCATGAAGAGGTCTCTTCCTCTATGGATGCAGTACAGTTTGCCAGCGACCTATAGACATGAATATAGCTATGGTTAGGGCACGGTTGGGAATGGAACCATTTAACTGCAAATCCATTACCTCAATGGACAAGTTCGCCAGTGTAATGCTTCCAGGATGAAATCACTACATGCCCAGGGAATTCGATGATCAAAAAAACCCCAGAACTCACAAATGACTTTATTCTATTGTTTTTTTAAAGATTCCCCCGTTTCAATTGTAAGAGCATTGCAGTATCCCAGCAAGGAACTTTTGCACTTTTTTTGTTGCTGAGTAACTGTTACAGAGTATTTGAGTTTCTCTTCTTTCCTTATCACAGGGCTTTTGGTGCCGCCAAAGGATGTATCGGTTAATCCCTGTCAACAGAACTTTTAGCACCTTCACATAGGACTCAAAGAGAGAAAAACACTGAGGTTTGAAGAAGATACCTCCACACCTTCAAATCAGGAATATTCTTGCAACAAGTTTGTGCCAAGAAGCTGATACCTGCGTGGCCAAAGCATTTGCATGAGGAGGGAAAGTATGACTTTTCAGACAGGGTGATACGCTGCAGTGCAGGTGACTGATTCATTAAAACCTCTCTACTGCCTACCTGGAAACCTCCAAGACAGCTGTTTCCCCCACCAGATCACAGTATCTGAAGGTATTTTCAGCTAGAAGGAGCATAAGTGAGCCTCCCAGCCCATCACCATCTTTCTGGCTACTCACTACCAGCACATACATCTGGGAAGACTTCCCACTGGGGATAGTGTTTCCAAGTACCTGGGCTCTCATCAGCATCCTATGGGCTCCTCTGAGCCTCTCTCTTAAACCTTTCCAGAGAGGCTTAAGCCCCAAGGAAGTGCAGTATCAGTTAGTTGGCACGGTAAAAGTTGAGGGATTGAGGGCTAATTGTCTGGTCCTTTTAAGAAAAGGTGTAGAAATAACAGAAGATTCTGGCTTAAACCTACAGGGTAGCTAAATACTAATTCTGTTGTCCTTTCTCTGAGAGACAGATGTCCCTACGCACTGCTCCAGCAGGCAGAGGGATGGAGAGCAGCCTCTAAAAGACTGCATCCACTCTTGCGAAAGGCATCAAGGGAGTGCGTGGGCTCAGGGACCCTCAGTTTAAGGTGACAGCAAACTGTCAGGTTTGCTGAAGTCCACCCCAGGCCACGTTCATTCTCCTGTTGCATTGCCCTGACAGACCCTTTTCCTCCAAGGAAGGTTGTCCTTCCTGTCGTAGCCTGGAGAATGGAGAACAGAACCGGGGCTTTAGGAATGGAAAAAGTAATGGGATCCTCAACTCCTAGCACTTAAAATCGCCCACTGCCTAGAGATTTCAGTGAACCGGTGAGCAGAGGAATTTGCCACCGTCATAAGCAAAGGATCACCACTTTGCTTTGTGGTGAGGTGGTAGGCATAGATTTTAAGACCTGATTTGAAAGGCAAAAGGATTTTTAATTCTTCTTACCTACTCAAGTAAGATGAGAGAAAGACGTATTGGAGAAAATAAAGGGGAAAGTGTCATGTTCTCTCATCCTCCACGCTTCATCTGCGCAGTCTAACTTGGAAACTCTTGGGGCAGAGACCACAACTGAAACAAGCAGGACCTTGGCCTCCAGCATCTGAGAATCCGAACAGTCCCTGCCCAATTCCCAGCTAGTTTCCACCGTGCTAAATAATCATGAAATTAAGGGAACGAATAAAGCACCATATTGCATTTTGCAAATTCTAGCTCCCCAAAATGAGCAAATCTTAGCTCATGAAATGAGTTGTTTTTAGGGAGGTTGTGTGGTTGTTTGTTTATTAGACAGATCAGTGGAGAAGAAAGAAGAGGGACTGTTTGGCCCCAGATTATTATTTTTTTTTAAACAGAGATGGAGGTTGGGGAAAGGATAAAAGGACAAAGTGGACAAAAATAACCAAATTTGAAAGAAAGGATGCAAATTAAACAGGCTCGGAAGGAGTTAGTAAAGCGCAAGCAAGACACAGAGACTAAACTAAAGTTAATTACTTTTGACATGATCAGATCATCTGGTTGCATTTCAGGCTGCGTGCACTCTAGGCTGGCCAGCATGAATGGCGAGGGAAAAGAAAGTAACTCTCCCCTCTAGGTCCCTTTGCCAAGTCTGGGCTGCGCGCTCTGTCCGAGATCCCTCTTTCTTTGCGCAGAGAGAGAGAGGGGGAGAGGAGAGAGAAACACAGTTAACCACCTGTCAGGGCTGAGGACACAATAAGGCAGCCCCCAAAAGAGCTTTTCATGCATGCGTAATATATTTGTTCAGCTATTCACTTAATGAAGCTGATAAATGTGATGCGAAACAATAGTCAAGTTAATCTATTTAGTAAAATGTTTTGAGACTCTCAGGCGATGTTAAGGAGGGTAGTGTGTTCGGGGACATTTTCATTTCAATACGCTCATCTCTCCCCTCTTAGGGGGGTTTCAAGCAACCTATGTGAATATAATTTCTTATAAATGTGTCTTTAATGGGTTTAATTCACCCTTGCCAGCTGTTTTTTTAGCTATTTTGTAAGAGCAAAACAAACGTGCCAGGCTTGGAAAGCTAGTTAAAATTAGTTTCGGTCACCGGGGCCAAGCTATATTTCCTGCAAACCATCTGCTTGATTGGCACAATAGAAGGATTTTCAAGAAAAGGGGGGATCTAGAAGAGCTTTGAACGAACCAACAGTTACTGTTCCTTGTGCTTGAATTCTAAAGGTGAAGCCTTAGGTGTCTTAATATAGCTTCGCCCCCGCAGCCTCCATTCAAGCTCCCGACGAGGTCGATAAGCATCGTTAGGGAGCTTGGACGCGCCGGGGACGGAGCATCCCTCCCGCCGCCGCCCCCTCCCCGGGAGAAAAGAAAGAAGGAGAAAAAAAGAAAAGAAAAAAACCCAACAAACCACAAACCGAAACGCGCACACACACACGCTTCCTCCGTAGCTTTGGAGAGCGAGAAGCCGCGGGGCTGCGGCGATATTCCATATGTCCCAGAGTAGCAGCTACCTGAATAAGGTAAGAGCAGAAACAGTAATAGATGGTGTCACTGCCATGGGGCTACAGCCTGGTTTGGGACCTGATGCAAAATCTATGGAAGCCAGTGGACTTGCATTGACTTCAAGGACTTTGATGACAGAGCTAAAATGATTGTGTCCTGACTGTGTAATCATGCAAATCATGCCAAGTTGTTGGGATGAGCCTTGGGTACAAACTTAAGTATCAGTTGTAAGGAATTGTGTGCAGGTCTGAAAATAGGTTTTGCAATGCTAGGAAGTAGGGATGCATGGCAGAAAAAAATCTGCAACCACTGTTACTGGCACCAGTGTGCATGAAAAGCAATGTTATCATCACCTTGGAATATCTATCTTAGGGTGCATTTGTGTGAAAGAGAAAGGGAGAAGGATGTCCAGCAATAACCACAAATAAAGCAGAAGTTTTGGGGGTTTTTTGTTGTTTTTAGGTGGTTTTTTTAAGCCACAAAGAGAGTGAGTGACTTTTAAGAAATAAATTTGAAGATAACGACATTAAAATGAATGGCAGGAAGCACAAAACGGCATGAGCATAGGTCAAACGGCATTAGTCACAGGTTTTATCCTGAGACATTAGAATTCCCTTCTCTTAAATGATCACTGCCTTTGAAAAGAAACTTCCAAAGGAGATCACTTAAAATAAGATCCTTTCGTCTGATTTCTTGGTTTCTTATGGTCTATCTTCCCTTTCAATAGATGTCTAGTCTCTTTTGCCTTGGTGCTTAAGGAATTCTTTACGAGTGTGCTCAGACGCATCACAAGGAACTGGGTCCACGTGTGCCCCAGCATGCGTTTGACCCAACCTTCCAGAAAATGTCAAACCCTCTTTTTTTAACCAGAGAAATTAGCAGCAGTTGGTCTATAGTGAGGCAAAATGGCCCCAATGTATATGTAAAGAAAGGAGTAAATCATCTCAAAGGAAACCTATAATGACTGCAGAAAACTGAGTGTTCTCGGACCCGCCCGGGCTGCTCCGAGACGCCGGAGCTGTGTTGGGAAATGCCGGGGGGGGGAGCGCAGGAGGGCGGCTGCGAGAGGGGCAGGGAGCAGGGGATAGAGACCGGACGGGACGGGGGGGCGCAGAGGGGACGCCAGTCAATTATTTTATTGGGGAAGCCCCGTTTGCTTTTTCTATTCGCTACCGTCCCGCTCGCTTGGTAAATAACACCTTGAGAGCAGCCATGTGTATAAACGCGCTTGAGGCAACTTCGGAGCGCTCCGGGTGAGGGCGAGAGGAAAGCTAAACCCGGAGCAGGAGGGGGCAGCCCCCCGCTTCGGCTCTGCCCGCGCCTTCCTCCCCTTTTTTCTTTACCTGCTAAGCATCGAGATTAACAAAACTTGGGGGAGGGGGGGCGGGAACGACGACTCCAGCGAGGTTTTATTTCAAGGCGATGCTTTCAGACAGCGGATCTTCCAAGTCAGCCTTCTGCAGATGCTCATCTGCTGGAGGCCGGCGTACAGCACCGGGAAAACTTGTCAGGATCATACAATTTCGAGGGCTGATTCCGTCCTCTCTAATAAATAACTTTTTGATTTGAATCAGGGGAGAGGTTTAACAGACTTTCTTTCTCCCCTAATGTGATATAAATCGCAGATGCACTTTTATTGAATGGTTAAAGCATCGACATGGAGATAATCAACACAAAACGTCCGGACAAAAACCATCGAGAGAAATAAAGCTGGTTAATAAGATTTTTGAGAAAGCTTTGTGTTAAAAAGTAAAAAGGGAAAACAGCTGAAGGTGACAGTTAGTTCATGGTTAATAGGATAAAGGCTGCATGGTTGAGCTGCACACTTCTGCTTGCAAAGGTTCAGCCACACCAAAGGACTGAATAGGGTGCTTTTAAAACATAGGACATTTAACACATCTGTTATAGTCTTTAACAGAGAAATCAGGTAAAACCACTCTCAATAGTTGCTTTCATCACCCAGCTCCAAAGGAAATTAACTACGCTTGCGCCTATTTCCATATTTGCCACCACAAACAAAACCTCTCTGCCAGAAAAATCCCTATTTTCTGCTTTTCCGTTAGACGATGTCATTTGTCCCTCACACCAAAGTTAATACACCGAGTATTCGGCTCTGCGGCACCGAGCTGAATACACCTCCAGAAATTCTGCGCACGCACGCAGATAAAAAGCGAGTTCAGGTGAATTCGGCGGCGTCGAGAAGGCTCCGAGCCACCGATACCGATAAAACCGAGACTAGCTCAGACCACTTGAGCCAAAAGGATCAAAACGCTACAGCGTTGCCTCCATTTTCACGGTCGGAGGGTAGCTATTTCCACTATTTTTAACGTAGATGAGCTTAAGAGGACCAACAGATTGAGAACCTGAGGGGGCTGCTCTGGTCCCGCAAAGCCGTTCAGATCGTTTCTGTGCTCAGCGTTCGGATTTTCTCGGCGCAGGGTTCTTAGCGGCTACAAACCGGGCTTACGCCTCGGTCCGATGGGGGCAAGCCCCTTGCCGGAGCACACGCCGGCAAGGCTCTTGCGAAGCTCGGATCGCGAGAGCGGAGGTTAACGCCGCAAATTCGCTTTATACCGGATCTTCGACGTGCAGATAGAAAAATAACCCCAACGTCAGGCGCAAATTTGGCCGCATGCTAATAGCAGGGGGCAGAACGCGCTCAAACCACGACGGGATCCGCTCTCCGAATATCTTTTTCCCCCTCAACAGAGCTTAGTTCCACGTTTTCTAATTTGTATTTTCCATTCCACAAAACCCCTGCTTTTCTGAGAGCCCGCAGATAAGTTTATATGAATATTTATTGATTTATTTCCTAAACTCAGCAGGGGAGCGGCAAATAAATTTAGTGCTTTCTTTAAATAATTCCCTTTCTACGAGGCAAGATGTCATTCGAAACTTTTAAATAGGCATTTAATTAGCCTGTGTGTGTTGCCTCTGAACAAAACCCTGCTGGGAGCCTTTGGAGCGCTGTATTCCAAAGAGGCGGTCAATATGCAAAATTGATGACTACACTTTCTTTGTGGCGGGGCCATTGTGCCCCGGTTGCTTATGAAGTCTAATCCAATCATAAATTGCAGCCCCGGACCAATGGAGAAGCCCGGAGCTCGCCCTGAATGAAGCTCAAGTGGAGAACTTTGTTGAACCCCATTGTTGGGGCTGTCACTTTTGAAAGAGCCTCAGCGGGGCTGACCACTATAAAACCCATCGTCCAGGAGGAAGGGGCAGAGAGAACCCCGCCAGGCTCGCTAGCTGGATCTTTACTAAACGAGGTTTGCAAAGCAGAAAACAAAAGCAAACAAACAAACAAACAAACGAGCGGCCCCAGCCCTGCTCCGCGGACGGCCCCTGCGATGATGTTCCCCAGCCTCATCGCTCCGCCGGCCGTCTACCCCAGCCTCCTGCGGCCGACTCCCACCCTCACCTTGCCTCAGTCGCTGCAGTCAGCTTTTTCCAGCCATTCCAGCTTCCTGGTGGAAGATTTGATCCGGATCAGCAGGCCTCCCGGTTACCTGCCCAGGACCGCCCCCCGCCCAGCATGTCCCCCCCAACCTCAGCGGCCGGGACGGACTCGGGGACGCCGGAGCTCCCCAGCTCCACCGCCGGCTCCAGAAGGATCTGTTCGCCGCACACTTCCAGCAG